AGGTCTGGATCGGGGCCTTCCTTTGGGGTGGGTGCAAGCGCGCCCCCCCCACTTCCTGGATGATGATTCCTCCTTGCAACCCCTCAAGAGGATTGTTTGCAAAGACAAGATGTTTTGCTTTAAGAAGCTTTTTGTCTCCCTGTTTAATGTTTGGAAACCAAACCGAATAAACTCGGGGATCCATTCCCTCCTCCTCCCCCCCAGGAAAAAAAGGAGAGGGGGGGTTGCTCCGATTTGAGTTTGGGATCTTCTTCCCTCCTTTGATTAGCAGATGCTTCTGGGGGAGGGGGATCTCTCTGTTTGCCTCCAGGGTTTCTTTTCTAGCTGGGCTCGCTTGCGAGAGCCACCTGTTCAGAAGCTCCTTGGAGAAATTCGCCTCGTCTCACTTGCACGATGCCACGGGGATTTGAGGTTTCGTGGATTCACCAGGAAGGGGGACTGGACCAGAACAGAGGAGAGGGGCAGGCATCCCCCCCCAATGATGTTGGACTCTAAGTTCCATCATCCTGTAGGGAAGCATGATGGGAGTCTCAACCCAGAAGGCTGTCTCCTAGCCTTTTGTCAAATGTGCTGTTTTGGACGTCTTGAAATGTGTGGTTAAAGCCTCTCTTTTTTTTTTCCCTACACTTTCTTGCTCCCCTGCAAACCAGGGTGTGGCGGATGCCTGGGGCCTTTGCGGATCTGGTCCACGCCACCTCTCCTTCGGGGCATTTGCTACTCTGCGTTTCAACAGGTAAGGAAAGCCCCGGGGTGGCCCATGCCCTGTTATTGCAAGTGGGGACGATGGAACACATAGCCCCAAACACCAGCAGGGCCGCAAAATGTGCTGAAAAACGAATGCCCTCCCGACTGAGATTCGTCTGGCGCCGATGCTGATGACATTTTGGCGCCAGGTCAAAACCTTCCTGTTCCGGAAGGCTTTTAATTGAAATAATATTACCTGTGGGTCTGATGGCAATTTTTATATATATTTTAATTGTATTATAATTGTTCTGAATTTTTATTGTATTTTAAATGTTGTAAGCCGCCCAGAGACCTTTGGGTAGTGTGGGCGGCATATAAATTAAATTGAATAAAATAAATAAATACATAAATTTGAAACATGGACAGACTATGTGGCATCTCCCTTGTTTCCTTCCTAGGGTATTTCATCCATGACTCACTCGACATCATTGTATGCCGACAGTCACGGGCTTCCTGGGAATACTTGGTCCATCACGCCATGGTAAGCGGGACTGCTGTGGGGATGATGGGGTTTGTAATCTGATGAGATCCATGGGCACACCAGGAGAGCGGGGAAGCTGGTATCGCAAACTCAGAGATGAGACTGCGCCTGTGGAGATGGACATTTATACTCATCTGTGACGCTTAATGCGGGCACGTTGTCTCTCTCAGGCTGACCTACTCTGCATGGTCGTTGTGAAGATAAAGAAGCTGGAGGGGGTTATGTTGTGGGTGAAGCCGTACACGTCGGGCGAAGCTCTTCGAAGGCTGGGTCATCTCTGCCCGCAGCTTTCGAAAAGTTATATTCTTCATATTCTGGGATCTGTAGGCCAAAAATTTAACTTTTTCTAAGCTATGAAATACTTTGCCGCGCAGGTTAGGCCACGTGAAATATTGTGTAAGTTACGAAGCCCCTTTGGATGGTTTTTCCCTTGGAGTATTCCTAACTGTTGAGGGAGCAGCTATTTGGGCCAAAACAAGCCTCATCTTTGTGGGTTTGGGGGTTTTCGTGGGACCGTTCACACCCCCATTTTATTCCTAGAAAAGACATTATTTTGCAGATTATTTTTTTTTCCAGTGGGAAACATGAGGGACTGTGTTTTGCTCAGCCCTGGTGCGTAAGCAACGCCGAAACGGATGAACTTAACAGCTGGACTAGATATCTTTTGTGCCTTTTTGTGCAAAATTATCTGAAACAGTCAGGGTTTACGTAACATCAGAATATACTATCCTTTGCCCCATTCGCTTTCTGTTATTTATCGCTCTTTGATGGCCGTCACCCGCAGCAGCCTGCAGAAGTACAGACTGCGCGCAACAGCAAAGATTGACCCGAATACAAAAACAGTATGTTAAAGTAAGAAAAATGCTCAACGACCACTACGTTCAAAAAGCCCTCATTGTCAGAGCAGATTAAAATCAGCGGTCACGGGAATGTGGCCGGCACAGCCCAACAATTAAAATGTTTAAAAATGTGGTGCGGGCTTTGCTGACGCGCACTGTTAATGTATGTCACGTAGACGTCGGGGGGGGAAGGCGCATTGATTTATTGATTTAACGGGTATCCCAGCCTTATCTGTGAGGAGCTTGAGGCAGTTTATACGGCAGTCTTCCTCTCTGCTTTTCCTTGGGACAATAACCTTTGGAGGTAGGCCGCCCGGACAAGAAATAAACATTTTGGTTCAGTGGATGTGCGGTTAAAAACAAAGCCCCCCCAAATAAAGTCTTGCTTTGGGTCCCAGCCGTGAGCGTCCAGTCTTTTTTTTTTTCCCCACAGAGAAATCAATGGCTGCATTTCCCACCCCCCGCAGTCTTCCTCTCTGCTTTTCCTTGGGACAATAACCTTTGGAGGTAGGCCGCCCGGACAAGAAATAAACATTTTGGTTCAGTGGATGCGCGGTTAAAAACAAAGCCCCTCCAAATAAAGTCTTGCTTTGGGGTCCCAGCTGTGAGCTTCCAGTCTTTGGCTGAAATGGATTTTCTTCAGAAGCCCAGGGTTTGTTTGTTTTGGGATGGGAGAGAAGCCTCTTCTGTTTGGTTCGTCGTCATCCGTTAAACTATCGAGAGGCAGAATCTGCAGATTGACCGGGAAGGGTTCTTAAGCCGTTCCTGTGACTGTGGGGGGGTGGGGGTGGCCTTTTCTCCCTTTTCTGGTCCAGAAATGTGCATCGGAAAGGTCGATTAGGACAGCACAGTAGAGGAAGGTGGGGTTCATGTTGCTGATCTCTGGAAAGAACCCATTCCTTGCAATCTGAAATGAGATGGCTTTTTAAAATTCAGTATTCTGGGCCATCAGATTGCCTCTTAACGCTGACTCTTGATTGCTGCTCCCATGAATTAGTCAGCGCGATGTTCAGAGAGCTGAGGGCCTGTCACGCGGCGGGTGGAGCGCGCACCTGCAAGAAGGGAACTCCAGCGTCTGTTTTTATTTCTTGACCTATTTATTCGGCTGATGGCCCACATACCTCTTTGAACTGGGACCTGAAGGAGAAGACGGCAAGACTTTTTTAAAAAAAGGCAGGTAGAGGTAGAAAACATGAGGAAGTTTTCCCATTGAAAGCAGGGCTTCCTGGGAAAAGACCGTGAGGATGGGTTACGTGGAAATTGAGCGGGAAATGAGAAGGAAACAGCTGTGTGCCGAGAGAGCCCTTCGGCAGGGGAGCAGGACCGATTCGGGCAAAGGAGGTCTCTCGCCCCCATCCCACCCACCTCGCGTCTGGGTACCTAAACACAGGCTGGGCACTCCCCTGTCTGGGGTCCTGTCACTGCATTTTGGAGCCCGTCCTGGGCCAGACTAGAGGACCTCTGGGGGTCCCCTTGCCACTCTCTTTGGTGCTGCGGCCCTTGAGGTCGCTGCCCACGGCGCTCAACTGCTGCAAAAACAATAGAAAATTACCTTTTTCTCTCTTTCAGGCCGTTTCGGGCTTGTTCTCGGGGATCTATTTCAACCGGTTTGTCGCCGCCGGCCTGGTGACCCTCTTTGTGGAGGTGAGCAACATCTTCCTGACCCTGAGGATGATGATGCGCCTGGGCCAGCTGCCCTTCACCACCGCCTACGAGGTCAACAAGTACGTCAACCTGGTGGTGTACTTCCTCTTCCGCCTCTTCCCCCAAGCCTACCTGACGTGGTACTTTGTCCGCTTCGTGGAGATGCGGGGCCAGGGGGCTTTCCTGATGGTCAACCTGGTGCTTCTCGACGGCATGATCCTCGTGTACTTCTCACGCCTGCTGCGCTCCGACTTCTGCCCGGACGCGCGGAAGCCGGGGCCCGAGAACGAGAAGAAGTTCCTCAATGACTAACGTGCCTTCGGGGAGACCCTGGCGACGAGGGTCGGAGAGCGAGCGAGCGAGCAAGCGAGGAGGGCTGGCCCTGCAGTGAGAACCGCCGTCCGGTTCCGCCGCCGCCGCCGCCTGCGTGCCTTAATGACCGATGAGTCCGCATCACTGTGTTGTCCCTTCATGCCATTTTCCTCCCTTGCTCGGCACCCGCCGAGGTGTGGAGCTGACCCCACCGCTCGGACGGCCCGCTTCCGACAAGGCTGGCCCCGCCGACAGCCAGTTCTGGGTTCGAGTCCCAGCGGGAAGCAAGCGTGGAGGCTTCTGACAACTGGAGGGTTTGAGGTTGGGGGGTAGAGCTTGTCTCATGTTGTTTTTTGGGGGGAGCTTGGAAGTTTTAGGGGGAAAGGCGGGGAGGGGCGTTCTGTGCATTAAAATCTGTTTGCCATGCAAAAGTCCACTTATCCTGGTGTGTTTTTTTGGGGTGGAAAGTGGGTGTTTCTGCACACATGGGTTTTGAACCGCAGGCTGGGCTGAAATGGGGAAAGAACAACCCCCAGACTTTAGATGCGGGCCCATTATTCCAGGCTGCGGCTCAGATCACAGGCAGCCTATTTTTAAAAATCCGATGGATGGCTTTGGGGTCTCCTCCTCACAAACGGAGCCCGAGTCCGCTGGCCATCAAAGAGCGGAGGTTCAGTGGAAACGAAGCAGAGGGTCAAAGAAAATTTAACAAGCAATTTGAAAACACCAAGAAATTTAACAAGCAATTTGAAAGCACAGGAGAAAAACAGGTTCCGAGGTCCCCTCGGCATCATGTTCAGGGGGCCTCCCGTTGGGGAGGACGGGCGGAGAGAGCAAAACAGCCTCTCGCTAAAGAAGCCGGTGTTCTCTTGTGTTGCTTCGCTCCCCCCCCCCCCTTCTTCTCATTCTCCGAAGGGAGCCGAGAGGGAGGGAGGGAGGGAGAGGAGCCAGTCCCTAGACTACATGGCATGGAAAACAGGCTGGAAGGCTCCCACCGGACGCGCTGCTGCTCTCTGGGCACACTCTGAGCCGCTGGGCCACCTGCCCCCTCACCTGAGCCGCTGCTCCAATCCCAGGCTTGGAAAGCCAGAGGGGAGGCCTCCGGAGAGGAGCCCCAGCTGGCACCAGCCAAAAAGGGCGCCCTGGATTTTGGGAAGGGCTTGGCTGAATGTAACGCAGGGTGACCTCCTTCCCCCCCTTGCCGCTGCTGAAACTTACTGTGAGGACCAAGAGCAGGGCTTGGTGGAAAGGATTCAGCCCACCCCGAAGGGGAGGAAGGCAAAGGAGGAGGTTTTGCACCTTGTCGCCAGGTAAGTCGACCCAGGCAGGAGCGAGTCCCACCTTCCCTCGGCCCGAAAAGAGAACAGTTGCAAAAAAAGAGTTCTATGTTCTAAGTTTTAAAAACAAAAAACTCATTTCTCCCTGTAGTGCACAGGATGCTGTGTGTGCCCCACCTTCCTTGCTGGCCGAGAGGGAGGCATCAGGACATGGGCGACACTCCAATGGCTCAAGGTGGCCTCTCCAAGGGAGCCTTGCAAGGCCGGCTGGATAAATCCCGTGCAGCCGCTGAGAAATGTGGAAACAAAAGACAGCCCCCCCCCCCCGGGGTGCTTGGACGGTCTAAACCAGAGAGATCCCGGTGGACCTGAGAAAATGGGCTTTAAGAAGCGCTGTGCAGGATTTACAGATGCTCAGAAAACTACGCCGCTCATCACAGTGCGCCCATCAATATGGAGAGGTGCAAGACTCCCAAGTGCCACCTGCTCTAGCAGGGCAAAGGATGATGGGGACTATAGTCCCACTGCAATGGGAAGGGCATGGACTTTCCCACCTCTGTCCTAACTACGAGACCCCCAAGTGCTTCTTCCTCTCCAAAACTCCGGAGGAGACACACCCTCCCTCCACTTGCAGCCAAAGTGCGGGACCACTCGAGAGAAAAGGAGAGCGAGCCCTCGTGTCTCAGGGCACGGGCACAGGTGGGCTCTCATCCTGGGCCCTTGGAGGGAAGAGGGTGGCTGTGTGCCAGCTCCCACCTCTCCTGGCAAAAGGGGGCGGCTGTTTTTCTCCCTGCTGACCCCCCCCCCCCAATGGCATCAGCTGCCACGTGATGACATTCAAGTCTCAGCACAAATCCAGAAGAGGTGGAAAGCTTGAGGTCACAATTAGCCACTGATCCTCAAATAGAGCAGGGACTTCCTTTTTCTCCAAAATGACACGGCAGGCTCCTTTCTTTCACCAAACAAGCAGAAATCTGGGGGTGTCCCCGGCCCTCCCCAACGTGGTCCACCTCTCCCTCACAATGCTGCTGTGCAGAAGTTCTCAGTTTCGTTCCCAGTTCGAAGGCTGCCCTGCTGCAATCGTTCTACTTCGGAATGGCCATGAAAATGTGGTCCCATGCTACGTATCTTATCTCAGAAAGGACAGCTTTCCGAGTTCCCGGAACTGCTTTGAGTTTTGTTTCGTTCCCTTTACATTTATACGAATGTATTCATTTGGCCCAAGATGCTCAAGGCTGCCCTGCTTGGTCTTTTCCCAGTTTTGATCGTCAACAACCCTGTGAGGTGGGTCACCGCCTGACTTGTTCGAGGCTACCGTGTGCGCTCGACAGATGAGATCTGAACCCAGGTCTCCCCAACTCTGTCCTGCCCACTCTGGAACCAGAATGAATCCTTGGTTCTTGCTTTCTAGCCGCTTGAAATAACTCTTTGTTTGGCACACCCTTCCCTGGAGAGCTCGCCTGAAACCTTTTCCCCACTCGTGCTAGAAGACAGAACGGCTGCCCTCCATAACTAACACTAAGGCCACTCTGGAATTCCATGCATGCCTTCCAGCACCGCTTTTGCGAAAGAAGGGAGCACATTTCACCATCAAATCCACTGGTAACTCAATTTCTGGTGAATTAAAAAAAAAAAAAAACAATCCCAGGTCCTCAAGAGCACTTAAGGTGCAGCCTCAAGAGCTAAGAGGCATCACAGGTATTTTATAGGGGTGGGGAAAATATATATATATATATTGGGTAGCGTGGAACAGCACAGAGTAGCCAGCTAAGGAGAGAAGGCAGCCACACGTTAGCCAGGGCATCAGGAAAGCCTGCAAACTATTTGTTGTTGTTTAGTCATATGTGACTCTTCGTGACCCCTTTATGGACCAGAGCACGCCAGGCCCTCCTGTACTCCACTGCCTCCCGGAGTTGGGTCAAATTCATATTGGTAATTTCGATGACACTGTCCAAACTATTTATACAGGTGGTTTAATTCAACTATTAGTCGTGGTGCGGTTGGACCATTCCAATCGGACCAGGTGTAAAGAATGCTGCGAAGAACATCTGGAGTTTGGCCTTGGCTGGGGAGGTCCAAGCTGTGGCCCCTGGAAAACCACGCCTTTCCACCAGGCTCTCTCCGTCGCGCTGACGGCAGATCATCACACAAAGAAGGGAACCCTCAAAGCCCTGGCTTTATGTGGGAAGTCCTGTGTTAAATTCCAGGAGTCTCCCATTTTTAAAAAAAGGGGGGGAGGCCCCCGTTACTCAATGCTGAAAATCATCGCCCAGCTGGAGAAGCAGTTTAGTCTAGAACTTGCTATTTACACCAGCCCTTCCTTCAAACTCATGAGGACTAGAATGCTGATTTCAATTTTGTCCCAATCCTGTTTTTCTTCCCCGATTCAGGAACTCAAGGTCGCTTACAAACCGGATCGCAGCTTCATGGCAGAACACACTTTCTTGCCCCACGCCGGCCTTGTGGTTCCAACCTCTTGTCGGGGGACAGAACGGGTCTGATGGCAATAGGTGAGCCTCCCCTATAACACAGGACTACTGAACGGCTGGGGGGGGGGGAAGAGGAGAGAAGGGAGCCAGATGAAGAGGGGCAGGTTTAATTTCTTTCCCTAGACGTAAGCTGTGGGCACTTTTCCCTTGGGGGGGTCACCTGTCATCTTTTGAACAGTGGGCAAGAGAACAGGGAACTGGAGGGGGTCTCCCGCTGGAGCAAGCAGGCGCTCTTTCCTCCTCAGGGTTTTCTGGGCCACAGAACTGGGAACCATCACGCCTCCGCTTAGGGGTCAGGCTCTATCTTCCTTTTCAGAATGCTAAACTCCCTGACGCTTGTTTGCAAGGAGGGACCCCGTGGTTTTTTCCTTTCATCACTTTGTTCCAAAGCCTGCTGCAGTGAATCGGCGCCTCCAGGAGGGAGCAGCAGCGCAAACCAAATGTCAAATTGGAAAACAAAACGCCAGCAGAGGTTGGAGGATCTGCTCCTTCGCCACCAGAATCCAGCCAATCAGGGTTCCCAGACGGAGAACAGGGCTCATTAGATTTGCTTATGCAACCATGGTCCCAAAGACTGAAGCTGAATTCCCCCTGAATCTCCCTGAACCTGAATCACTGTCAAGAGTGGACCCACTACAAAACCCAGGCAACCAGGTTGGGGGGGGGGAGAGAGAGAGAGGAGAGAGAGAATCCGTTTCTGGGCCCAGGAATATTTTAAGCCGCCACAGCCTTGAAAAACAGAGAACGCTCTGTCTCCCACTTGGATTGTGCCTGCCCCAGAAAGAGTCAGCTAAAAATCTCCCTTTACAATCAAACGCTCCCATTTCCAACCAGGTCTGGTTTCAGCTGAAAACACACCTGGAATAACAGTGGTGTCAAAAAAACAACCCCAAAAGTATTATCTTTTTTAATTGTGAAAATCTCGCACAAATATATTTGCACCCTTCAGCAGGTCCATTGGTGTAATAGCTGGCGTTCTGTACAATCGTGACCCGACGTGGCCTTTAGATGATCCCAATCTGGAAAAGAAATCAGAGGTGGTGGGCTTTGGATGAGCGTGAAGACATGGAATTAGCCAGCTCTGGACACCCCAGGAGCTCCCCTCCTGGGAATCAGAAGGCCACCACGTGCTGCCAGAAATGCCCCAGAGACCCACACTTCCTGGGGCATCGAGGCCTCACAGAGCGTGGAAGGTTGCTTTCTATCCCCGTCGCGTGCCAGAAGGCAAAACCAGCCCAGAACCTCACGGCAGCTTAGAAGAAATGGCCGGTGCTTTTGTGGAGGCTTTAGGGCTGCCACTTCGTGGATGTTCTGCTGTTTTTCTGCAGCTGCCCCCCCCCCCATTCTGCGTTTCAGATTTTATGCTGCAAAAAGCAGCTTAGACCACTCTGTGAAGAAGATCGAGGACAACACCCTGGTCTTGCAGTGTGAATGTGGAAATTTTCCTTGGACAGAACACCCAGGATGCATTTCCTTACATGAAGGGAGGCGCTGAAACCAGGTAGGCCATGGTGGCCCTTCCCAACTCTCAGAAGCCCCCCATGAACAGAGCCGATGGGAGTTGTAGTCTAATAAGATCTAGAAGGCCACATTCCCCACTCCTGAGAACAGCCCAGCTGATATGCGGCTGAGAACGAGACAGGAACAGCACTAGACCTTCCTGACATTTCAGCTTACATCTCAAGACCCTTCCCAGAGCGGGCGGTCATAAGAGAGACTATTATAGGGAACGATGGCCGGAAACCCTCTGGAGGACAAAAAGTCTCTGACCCCATTTCAGGTGGACCAGCCAGCCCACACCATGTCCAGCAGCTGCAAACACCCAAACGCCAGCTCTTGCTAAAGAAACCGAGCACGTCCAAAAATGTTTCCCACCTTGTTGGCGACATCTAGGGCGTCGTAATCTGGAGCGAGGCGGACGTAGGCCTTTTTCTCACCATCGGGCCTGGAAGGAGAAAGAGGGCTTTGGAAATCACAAGGGAGCATTTCCCCACTTCCAGGCGTGGTTTTCTAAAACTCAGAACCCAAACCCTATTCTCTTCCTTGCACCCTGTACAATTTTTTTTAAAAATAGAGTACTTAGGAAATTCTTTTTTTTTAAAGGCTTGCTTGTAGCTCAGCCATGAAACAGGCATTCTAAGGGAAGAAGGTTTCACCTTAAGGTACGCAGCATTTCCGGGCAGGTAACAGGTGAGGCGAGAAGGAGATACCTCAGACTCACCTGACCTTGGATAAGCGCGCTTAATGCTCCTGCTATTTCACCTTAAGGTACGCAGCATTTCCGGGAAGGAAGTGATGGCAGGTAACAGGTGAGGTGAGAAGGAGATGCCTCAGACTCACCTGACCTTGGATAAGCGTGCTTAATGCTCCTGCTGGGCTTACGCTCTTCTGATGTGAGCAAAGAGCATAACTTTCTGCATTTTCCTTACTTCTGTGCCGATGGGTTTATATTCCCACCCACCCAAAAAATGCTGAAGTTGAAACCATTTCTAGCATTGGGAGATTTTGCAATCCGCTGTCTTGATTTTTTTAAAAAACCAATTTTTAATACATATCCAGTACACAACATTCCCTCTGCTTTCATGAAAATGGCAGCCTAAGTTCAGAATTGATCAACTTTAGCATCATGGATAAATACGCTCCACCTCAACCCTTCCAGAGCTATTTTGAGCTTTCTCACATTCTCCAGGAAGCTTCGGTGCATCAGTGGTTCCTTTGAAAACATCACTCTGATCAGGTGAAAATTGTTTCCATCATCTGCACCATGTAATCTTCCCCCCATGGCGCCTGCGGGGGGACCCACCCCGGCGGCCACTCACCTGATCAGGGTGTTGACCTTTGCCACGTCAATGTCGTAGAGCTTTTTCACAGCCTGTTTGATCTGGTGCTTGTTGGCTTTCACGTCCACAATGAAGACCAGAGTGTTGTTGTCTTCGATCTTCTTCATGGCCGATTCGGTGGTCAGGGGGAATTTGATGATGGCATAATGGTCCAGCCTGAAACACAGAAGCAGCGCGGAGGGGGGGGGGATGTTCAAGACCGCTGCAAGAGTAGCAGGCAGGAGTACACAGAAGCTTCTGCTAAATCACACTAGTTCGTTCTTAAAGGGTCAGCTACAGATTGCCTTGTGCTTCGGGGGGATGTGTGAATGGTGTCAGGAGTGTCCTCTGAGGGCCTCAAGCTGTCCTCTCGATGCAATGTATTTCCAGACACATGGAAGAGGTTTTCCCCAGAGTGAAAGGAAAGACAAGGAGAAAGATTAAAGAACAGGAAAGCGGAGAGAGAAGCGAGTGAAGGAGGCAAGGATCAAGGTGAAAGCAAGAAGTTAAGACTGAATTCCCAGGTTGAATTCCTCATCACCAGAAGGAAGGACTGGCTATAAGGCTCCTGCCTATCAAGGCGAGTGGGAGGGACAAGGCAATTGCAAGGATGCCTTCCTCTCTCTCCCCCTCCCCCCCATTTGTAGGAAAAAGGGGTCTCTGGCCATGGGACACGCCAGGAATGGGGCGTGAAAGTCCCCCAAACAAGCCTCCCCTTTTGGATCGTGGTGCATCAGTCACTACTAGCTTCATCACAGCTCATTCAGGCTTTGGTCGCTAGTCATCATCACACGCACCCTGGATCCTTGCCCAAGGAATCCACCCACAGCAGCCCCCATACCACTGAAGGCGCCTAGGTGTCAAGAGGGGGAAAAATGGGGAGCGAGGAAAAGGTTGTGCATTTTAAGAACCTATCCGAAAACAAGATTAAATACGGCCGTGTGGGGGTACCAGACAGGCTGAGGAAGGCAAGTACGGGATCACAAATGAGGGAGGATAACCCTGAGCACAGCTCACAAGGCCAAACAAGCTTCATACAGCACATGGGGCGATCCCTTAAAAGAGATTCAGTGTCCACTGAACCCTGGGAACAGCGGCTTAGTCGACTTCAAAGAAGGGGGCAATTTGCCTGCAGCTATAGTGGCCGTGGAAGCAAAGAGCAAACCCTCCACATTTAGAAGGAGTGTACCTTTGGCATTTGGCTGGGGAGAAACTCAAGAGAGAGCACTATTTTATTTACTTGTCAGTTTCATCTACACCTCTCTCTTGGCCTTTTCCACAAGAAGCTCAAGATGCTTCTGTGGTTCTCCTCCCTCCACAGCACCTGAGCAACGTCCCTGCAAGGCAAGTTGGGAGTGACGGACGGGTCCAAAGTCGCTCAAGACTCGCCCCGGCCACAGACTCCCCAGAGCTGCAGGATGCTGTGTCAAACAAAGCGGGACCAAAAGGTGGTGGCGCTTCCAGTATGGCCGCATGGCAGTGGACATACTTGTTCCTCCGTGGGGCGCTCTTCCGAGGGTACTTTGGCTGCCTCCTTAGCCTCAGGGTTTTCGGCCTTCGGAAGGTGGGGGATGTCCGGATCTTCTTCTTTTTGTGACTGTGGACGCCTTTCAAGACGGCCTTTTTCGCTTTAAGCGCTTTGGATTTCGCCTCAGTCTTAGCCGGGACGGCTGCAAAACAGAGAAGGAAAAACGAGCTCAGACAGATCTTTTCACATCAAACAAAGAATGAAAGAGCTACGTAGGTCTGGCTCGCTCCCAACACTGGTGCAATTCCCTCCTCGGCAATTTAAATAATAAATGCTGAATGGCATGATTGTACATTATTGATTTTACTGAGATGCACTCTAGTCCAGAGTGCAATATCAATACATTATTTTAGTCCAGAGTGCAGTATCAATAAATACTTTATTATCACTGCAGAGAAAGGGGATGATGTTGAGTCCTTGGTTTTATCCCAAGACCGCCAGGTCCCTGGCTGGTAGGTCAGGACTTAAAGAATGCAATTTACAGTACAGTGGACCCTTGACTTACAGACGGCTTGACTTACAGACTTTTTGAGTTACAGACTTCTCTGGCCGCAAAATTTAGGTTTGACTTGCAGACTGAGATTTGACTTACAGACCAGAAAAAAAACCAAAATGGAACAAAAACGGCCTGTTACGGGATTAATCGGTTTTCAATGCACTGTAGGTCAGTGGAGACTTGACTTACAGACTTTTTGACTTGAGAACCGCCTTCCAATACGGATTAAGTTCTCAAGTCAAGACCCCACTGTATAACCGAAAGCAGATTCCAGATGCTAAACCACCAGGATATGTACATATGATATAAAAGTAAGAAGCAGGCCTCGAAATAACTGCCTGGTTAAAGGTGCACTGAACAACAATTAAATATATAACAGCAGATTAAAGATGGCTTATTTTGACCCCAAAAAGGGTGAGAAAAAAATCTGCTCAGAAGAACAAGGAAACATAACATCAGGGCACAGGGTGCTGTCCTCTGAAGAGGCCCATGGCCACAGAGACTGGCAAAACGTTAGGAAGAACCTTCAGAACACGTCCAAGGAGCCCGAAAAACCCAGAACAACCAAAACATAACATCAGCTCAAAAAAAAACGACATGGCAGACCAAAGCAGGTGACAGATTCATTTGGACACACAAGACCATGTAAATCAGGGCTGTAATGTCATCATTGCCATAATCTAAGAACTCCTCCATCGCCACATTGGGGGAAAGATTCCACTACAGTTCAAAAAGAAGGGGAGAAACACAAACGCCCTGATTCATTCTAACTAGAGGTGTGCAGGTAGACGTTTATGGACTACAACCCCCCAGAATTCCCCTAGTGGCACATGTCTAATGTAAACCACCTGCATTGCTTCTCAGCTATAAGCCTTCTCTTTACCAGCATGAGAAATGTCTTCTGTAAGGTCACAGAATCACAGAAGTACAGGTCTGGAAGGTACCTGAAAGGTTATGGAGTTGAATTCCCTGATAAAGCAGGAAATCTACTCCTGAGGCATCCGCGACCGGCAGCCACCCAGCCTGTTTAAAAGCCTCCCAAAGAGGAGAGTCTGCCACTGTCCAATCACAGGGACCAGCACTAGTCCCACACTACCTCGCAGGAGCTCCCCTTGGTTTTCTGACAGAGACATTTTCTTAGCCATCCCATAGACACGGGATCTGGCAAAGCAAGACCGTAGTCCTCATGGTTCTGATTTAACAGGTACTCGCTTCATGCAGAAGGACCTAACTGGACACACAAATTAGAAAATAGGAGAGGGAGAAATCCTGTCCCGGAGGGTCGGGTGTCACTTCTTCTCCACAATATGGAAATCCGCCCCCCCATTTTAACCCCTCACTGGTAGGGTGGGCGTTTAGGGAACAAATACTTCCCCCAAAAGGAGCTTTCTCCTCCTTTTCCTTCGCCCTTCTCCTCATTATGCCTCATCCGCTCTGTTTTAGCCGCCTTCCCACGTGGGAGGAAAAGGCAGAAATCCACAGAGGGGGAATCACCCCCAAGACCCCCCCCAAAAAACAGGCAAACCATTCCCAGAAGTCGTTCTCATACATGCATGAGCCTCCCCTCACCCTTAAGAAAACCTCCAGACCCCCTTCCCTTATTTCCCTATTTATGCCGGGGGGGGCAGGTCCTGTATGAAACTTGGCTGCTAACCTCCTTTCACCATTTTCCCCCCTCATTGGGGGAGGGGGGCCCCCTTTAAGACAAGCTCACCCGGCCCAAATTCTGACTGGGAGGGAAACTTCCTCCCCCTCCCATCTCTGCTTCTCTTTGGTGGGGAGGGGGGTTATTTCCTATTTCAAATCTTTTCTTTAAAAAAGTCACAATATAGATGCAGATCTGTGGGGGTTTTTTGTGGGAGGGGAGGTCTCTGTCTCCTCCCCACTGGAAAACTGGGGAGGGGGCACCCAACCCCCTTGCTAAGTGGGGGCCGTAGGGGGAAAATAAGGGAGGCGGCCAAGCAGGGCCTCCCCCGGGCCAGAAATAAGCCAGAGCCTCCCCAGGGGTGGTTCCCCCCCACACACCTATAGGGAGGCCTCCAGGATCAGCCCCCTTTTTGCCTCCCCCCCCATTTTAACCAAACCCCCCATATTGTGGGTGGGAGGGGCAGCTCCCCCCTCTGCCCCCTTAAGAGGGGGGCTCCCCTCCCCGCCCCACCGCCCCCCCAATTGGGGGGGGCCCATAAACCCTCCTCCTCCTTCCCGTCCCCGTCCCCGAGCGAGCCTCACCCTCCTTCTTGACTTTCGGCGCCATCTTGGGCGAGAGGCAAAAAAGAGAGAGAGAGGCGGCCACGTGAGTCTCGCCGGGGGTTATAGCGCCAAGTCTCGCGAGGCGTGGGCGCCCAACCCTCGCGAGAGGCGGCGCGCCGAGAGGCACGCCGGGAAAGTCGGGGAGGCCCAGAAGCGCTTCGGCCCCCCCGCCCCGCAGGCAGCCATCCCCCTGCGGAGCATGCGCAGGACGGACACGCGGCTGGGATCTCGCACACGGCGGGCGCCAACATCGCATGCGCAGAAGCAAAAAGGTTCGCCTGGGCTCCCGCAATGCATCATGAGAGTTGTAGTTTCTCTCCCCCCTCCCGCACAGAGTCTACAGTAGACCTAAGCAATTTCCTGATGGGAAACAAGAGGGGCTTTTAATTGTCAAACGTGTTTCCCTCCAAAACAAATAAATTAATAAACAAACACAGCCGACTGCTTTGTTTACTGGCTTATCAGCAACTGGAGTCCAAACAAACTCTTTTCCCAGCACATTAAATCCCCTCATTGTAAGCTCTTTGCGGCCAGAGACCTGCCCAGTTTTGACAACCGGCTTGTTTACATTCTCAGCATTTAGAGAACTTTAAAAAGACTGATATCCTTGCATTATTGCTACTATTGCCCCCCCCCAAAAAAATTATGGTTATATTAGCTGCACTATTAATACTACTGCTATTGTTATTATTCAGAGGCAAATTTATGGCTCCTTCATAAACCTTTTTTTCAACTTGACAGAAAGTTTCCTGGACTTTAGCCCATGTGTGGGGCTGTATTCTTTTTTTTTAAGGCACAGTCCTCGTCAGAGCTTGTGCCAAATCAAATCGTTAAGACTTCCTGGTCACACTGGGCTCTTTCGGTTTTGCTGCACAACAGGTTAACAGCTCCAGGGTAGAGACCCAGCTTTGCCTACAAAGGGCCCCAGGCATTTCCTCTTTTAAACAGGATCCGGTAGCAGCAGATAAAAGGCCTTGACCTAGGTGGAAGAATGTGTCTTTATCCCGCTCTAGGTAAATTTATCCTACCATTTGTGTTTCTCAAATAAAAACCACAGTCTGACCTTCTGATAAGAGGGCACCTTCATTTTTCACCTGGAGGATGAAAAAGGGCTGCCTGTATCCCATTCAGGATCTTTTCCGACCTTAAAACGCAAAGCAATTTGAATTGTGGGACGGCAGCTGGGACTGGCATCCGGTGGGCTTATAGGGACCTTCGTTTACTTTCACGCAGGCCCCCCGTCCCAGGATGGTCCACCATTGTAGGATGCTACAACCCCCCTCCCAAATCTTATTCCCTATAACCGTCCCTCGGGGTATCATGTCTTCTGCTTTGGGGGTCCAAAGGGATGGAGGGGGAACCTCGTGCCTTGAGCCGTGCAAGTTGGAAGTTGTTTTCCCCTAGCCCAACTGGGCCGAATCCTGAATCCCCATCACCTAACCAACAGAGGCACACCTTGTAATTCCTCGTGCCTTGAGCCGTGCAAGTTGGAAGCTGTTTTCCGCTTGCCCAACTGGGCCGAATCCTGTTCACCCCATCACCTAACCAACAGACGCACACCCTGTAATTAAAAAAAAAAAAAACCCTCTTAGTCCAGATTCAAGCCCCAGAGAACTGAACTTCTCAGCCGGTGACAATTCAGTCATTCTTTCCTGAACAAAGCGATTCTGCCATCTGGAAATTAAGTGATTAAGCAATTAACAGCCAGCTGTCTTTAAGGGACAAACGCCACGGATCACACCAGTTTAGCAGAGTTTGGGGAGTCCTGGCTAGAAGGGGAAATATTTCCCCACCACCTGTTCAGACTTGATCCTTTTTTTGAACTGGGGTTTGATCCAGGAATGTTCGGTGGATAAAGCAAAGGGTCCTGCTTCATTCTCCCTCCAGGGTCTTTGGGGGGGGTGTATGGAAAAAGGGCTGCCCCTCCCCCAGAAACCTAGGAGAGCTTTCTGTACAGGCAGTGTGCTCTAGTGGTTAAGGAAAACCATTGGAAGAGGCTCAGGGCCCTTCTCCTTGAGCCCAAAAGCACCCGTACCCATTAAAAAGGCTGAGCCAGTGTGACCAGGTCTGAGGAGATCTGAGTTCAAATCCCTGCTTGGCGGTGGAAATTCACTGCAAGTGGGTGGCCATGGCAAAACTAAGTCCTTAAATATCTCCTATATACAGTATATGTTACACAAGTTTGTCCTCAGCCTGAAGTCACTTGAGGGCACGGAAGAAGAAAGCAGAAAAGCAGATCTTGCGAATTTATTCGGAGGAAACGAGATTCAGAGGAAAGCTGCAGAAATCAGGTGGGAGAGATAATCTGAGTTATCTGCCCAGCGGCAGGAGGAATTGAAAAAGGAAGCAAGCAAGCAGAGGGTCCTCTCAGCTTCTCTCCAGCGCTACAGCCCGGTGGTGGTGGTGGTCCCTGCAAAGGTCAAGTGGAGGGAGCGTCTGGGCGTGTGCAGAGTGCACCCCCCCCTCTTCCAGCCATCCAGGGCCCCCCGCTTTGCCAAGCCCAGGCAAAATGCTAGGCGGCCTCAGCCGGGCGAAGAGGTTCGGGGGCTCTCGTGCCGGGGGGTGGGGGAGGGAGGCAGGAGATGCAGGGTGCCTTCCCCCCCCCAGTCCTCGGGCGCTGCGGAAAGGGAGGAGGGCTCAGCCCGTCCGGGAGTCTCTGAGTCACTTAATCCGGAGCAGATGCTGCGCCGGCTGGAAGGCGTCTGGCCCCGTTGCGCGCCTGCAGGCGGTCAGGAGGTGATGCCCGGGGAGGGGGGACGGGCGATCCTGGATGGGACACACACACACACCCCTCCGGTCGAGGGTCCACCGTCCCATAAGGGGGGAGGGCTGGGGGTACCTTTTATCACCCCCCCCAATTCCAAGCCTCCCCCTCTCCTTCCCTCCCGGCGCAGCCCTGGTTTGGGTTCGCCCCGTCGAGGCGGCAGCAGGAGGAGGAGGGCGGAGGTGCCTCCGAGGGCTTGCCCCAGCCGAGGGCGGAGGTGCCTCCGAGGGCTTGCCCAGCGCCTTCTCCCCAGACCCCAGCCTTTGGGGGGGGGACGACTCAGGAGGAGGGAGAGGAGGAGGAGGAGGAGGAAGGCTCCCGGGCCACCCTGAGCCCCGGCATCGCCTGCGGAGCTGCGCGCCCTCCTGCGCCGGAGCTTGCCTTGCGCGCCACGCGCAAAAGCCCGGGCTGGCTCCCCCCGGCGCCTCCTCCTTGGGCTTTTGCCGGCTCCTGCCCTGGAATTTCCGGGGATCGGGTTA